TTCTTCTTCTTCTTCTTCTTCTTCTTCTTCTTCTTCTTCTTCTTCTTCTTCTTCTTCTTCTTCTTCTTCTTCTTCTTCCTCCTCTTCTTCCTCCTCCTCCTCCTTCTCCTCTTCCTTCTTTTTATAAAATGGTACCAACTTTTGGTAATCCCTGAGCGAAACAAAACCACCATCCTTCTTTCAAACCCATGGTAGTTCATATCTAGAAAATCTAGGGCATATTGAATCAAAATATTTGCATGAATAAAAGTTCTAGGCTCAGATAACAACAGGGGTTTTCATCTCTAAGAATCTCAGAGGTCACAGAAAATGTATGGAGAAATACTTCTGCTTGATGAAGAGCCATCGCCAGTGGGGATGTCTAGCAACTCTCACTAAGTATCAATTGCAAGTTCTCTCATCCTACTCATTGTGATACCCAAGAGCAGATTCCTGAGATGCCTCTAGTTGAATACAGGGAGCATGGAGGGCTTGGACAGCGATTATGGCTCTTCATGAGACCCTCACAGGGGATTTGAATCTTGCCGAGATTTTACTGACTTTGTCAATGCCAATGCTGACAGCTGCAGAACATGGACACACAGCAGTGTGCCAGCTATTAGTGTACCTGAGAACTGTACTAATATCATTTACCTATTGACCTTTTTCAGCTGGTTACAAATACTGCAGAGATAATCTTTCTGCAACAGTTTCTGTGCACCCGTGCAATCAAATTTCATAGTCAAAAGGTATGTGTTTTTAAATTTTTTATAGGTTTGTCAAATTGTTCTCTAAATTATGTCAAATGTTCTTATTGGTGGCTTTATCTATGCCTGTTCTGACCTTCCATTACTAGATATCTGAGAAGGTTTTAATCTTGGTCTTTTTTTAAAGATGAAAATGAAGATTTTTCAAATGTCCCATTAAAAGCTGGTTTTGGCTTATATTACATTAGTTGGTTGCTATCAGCCTTGATTCATGTCTGTATGTAGGACATTCCTGTGGAAGAGAAATTGGACTTCCAGTATTTTCTATAGTGGAACAGGGGTCATGAGTGAAGGGTAGACAAATAGAAGTTTTGGCGCCAAGAATGGAAGACGTTTCAAACAACTCTAGCCAGCCAGCAAATGAGTGGGTCTGCCTGGAGAGATAAGGCGTGCTTGCCTCATACTGGAAATTTTCAATTTCAGGCTGGATGGACAACAGCAAAGTGTTCAAGGAAAGACTCCTGAGTTCAGTGGCATGTGTAACAAGGTCAGTGTAGCTCACGGTGCAGCGTCTGGGACATAGTGTATATGTAAGATGAGTTTAGGTGGTATGAGCTTTAAAAAAGTTTTAATTGTTGTCTGTTCAGTTTTCTACACTGACATCATGTTGCTGTGTTACTAGCAGATCATGCACCTTAATGTACAAAGATGGTACCACTGTTATAAACTCTGAGAAGAAATAGGCTGCACAGCTGCTAGGTCTTTTGAAACCCCAGGCTCTATGGATCTAAATCTAACCTCAATCCTGCTAAAGTTTCAGTTAGTACAATGACTTCTAAATACCAGCCTGTTACGTTTATTGCAAGAAATTGCAACAGAAACCAACTGTAGTACAACAGAGAATTGAAGTATTTGGAGCTTGCTGCAGGGGTCACTTTTTAGTTAGAAATGAGAGCTCTAAATTGTAGATGAAAAGCTATCTGAAACTACATTCAAATTAATAATTAGGGGTTGAAGAATCTGTCATCATTTGGTACATTGGGAATCAACCGTATGTGTTTTAAATAGACTCTGAAATAAAATGAACACAGGTGTTGTTAATGGCATTCCTTTACCCCATCAATACTTCTAAGATCAATCTTGATTGGAAAGTAACATGGTCTGTCTTCACATGAAGTCACCATTCAGTCAGTTCAACCCATGATGGACTTAAAATATAAGCTTATGCATTGGAGATCTGAGGCAAATATTTATTTAGTTTATATATAAATTGTACATGATGTCCATGGGGCTATAAACACAGGCAGATTTAAAAAACCAATTCAAGATACACCCAAAAATCACTCCCACGCCTCATTGATGCCATTCATTAAATACCTCTATCTGGGTAGTTCATAATAATTGTATAGTTTGATTTCTATTATTTAGTTCATGTTATAAAAAAAATGTCATCTCTATCTCCCTGGCATTCTTTAAATGCCGATAAGATGAGTAGCACAGACATATTACCAGACCAATGAATTTACCCTCCTGGCAACTGAGCAAGCATCCATTAAGTAAGGATTGTTTATCTGCACTGCTTTTCATTTAGGTACAAGCATTATCAGTTCTCTGATTCACAGAACTAAGAACAAAACAAAGTGGAAAAAAAATCTCCCAAATGACTAATTTGATTCATTGACCAAGACATGAGGCAGACTTAGTTTGTGACATACACACTAACACCTAAGACAAGATGAAAAATACACTGTAAAGCCATTATTTAAATATCATGTTTAAAATCCAAGCTGGGAAATAATAGTGGACATCTAAAACTGACTCATCATAGCCACTCTGATAGGATATACTTTAATTAGGAGAAAAAAAATCATTCATATACACAGTTCTCTTAGTAAAATTTTCTATTTGTTTCTAACAACACATTTTAATTTGCTTCAGAAAATGCATTGATCTTATTCAAATATATTTTTCCTAAAATATAAATATTTAAATTAAAATTTTAAAAATGGAGAAGACAGTTTTTGTTGAGTCTTATGCAGATATCAATCTAAAACTTAAGCAATAAAGAAACAATGTCTGTAATTATGACCAATTTAATTTGTCTATAAATATATAATAGAATCTTTGCAACTTGAATAATTAACTCAAACTTCATGTAGTACCGAGCACCTTAGATTACATATTGTTGAATGAAACTATTGGTATTAATATATGTATCATATTATTTACAATACATAAGTATAGTTCTTTTGTATAACAACATTCCAGTGATTTTTGAAAATATATAGTGTGAAAGTGTGCAATACAATTTACAAATGCATCACCGCTTTCCCACAGTATTGAAGCTGGCCTTCACTTTTCAACATTTTAAAATTAGAAACCAACCAAAAGTCAGTGTGTCCTCTGGTGGTATTTCCTAAAGCATTGTCTATAAAAACCACTAGCTTCACAGAGGCCCCATTACACCCTATTACAAAGAAGGGCAAGGATGGAACTTTCACCCCTACCTTGAAGATTGTGAACAATGACAACAAGGATTTTGGGGGGAGCTGGCAACCCTAACAAGGGCCTAACATGTCTCAAGTTGCTACTTAGCAAATATTTTTACCACCAAGCTCCTAAATCACTTCTCCAATGAGAACACTGCTCAACATGTCTCTTGGAAATGGTGTTGTATTGGATGTGCTTTGGGGAAATGATGGTTTAAAATACAACTGCAATTCAATAAGCCCACAAATCTGAAGAAGCTTAATCACAGGCATTTAGGCAGTTTCACTTTGCATAGGTATCTGCTAAACTATGACTCTTCCAGCACACGGGCAGAACACAGAGCACGTGCTAATGTAAAACTACATGGAAAAGAAGGACTAAAAAATCATAAATACTATGGCTAATCTTCAGGGTTTGTGAAAAGTAATTCCAAAATCAAATAATGGGTATAGCTTTTAGTGAATGAATCTTGAAACATTTAAAAAAAAAGCATTAAGTCTTAATAGGCTAGATAGTGCCCCAAAATATGGTTGTAGAAAAATATCAGGTCCTTGTATTATTCCCCTGGAATTCCAAAATTAATGTAGATACTATCTGTAGATTTGATTATACTTCTGGTTCTATATACCTAAAACAGCGTCATCAAGACTGAGAGATAGTCTCCCTTGTTTTGAAATGCACATAGGTGAGCATGGGCAGAAACAAGGACCACTGAAAGGTACTTCCACTGAAAACTGTAAGATGCAGACAGTTAAACACCAACTATGTGACCAGTGGTGTGTGTGTGTGTGTGTGTGTGTGTGTGTGTGTGTGTGTAATGGCAAGCTTTTAAAAATTGCCCAGAATTTGATTTTTGTAAATAAGGATACCGATTTCGGCTATGAGACAGCATCCATGGTGTAAGTGTAGTCTCAGAATTAATTATCATTTGTGTATACAACTCTCCAGGAAAGCTTTGCAACTGCAATAGTCCATTTGGGCTCAGATCCTGCCTGCTTAAAGCTCATGTCAGTATCCAGTGCTTTATTTCATTTCTGTCCAGCATATGCGAATGAGAACACTTTGGAATCACTCTATACCAACTGAAAGATAACTCATTAGGAAAATTAAGTGACAGATGCTTCATTCTTAAATAAAAGGTGGGTTTCTTTTTACTTTTCCTCTTCTGTCTTTTTTTTCTTTTCTTTCTTTCTTTTGCCTACCAATAAACATCAGCTCAACTTGGGTCAGGAAATAAATCACAATAAAGCAAGGGATCAGTACCGGGGGACAGAAGAATAGGTGGAACTATCCGTTTCTCATCTGTTCAGACCTGGCTTACCGGGGTGAACCAGTTGCCTAGAAACTGGTGTGATTAAGATCTGCACATGCTGTTGTGATGGCCATGTCCTTGGCGGTCATCATTTAGAAGAGAGGCTGTGGGTATCCACTCGCCCTTACCCCCTTTAGCCTTGTTCTGCTCTAAGAAGCTCTCTATTCTGACAACCCTCATGGTATTTTCTTCAGGGAGTCTCTTGTAGTTCCTGAAACTGACGGAGGAGCCTAGGATATTACACGTGACTCCTGAGACCCGAAGCTGGCTGTGCATGCTCCGTTTGGAGCACTGTCTGAAGTCACACTCCTGTGGCGCCGCAGCCTTCCTCCCCTAAGGCAAGTCGCCCCTCCGTTCAGGCCACCAAGCCCAGTCTTGTAATCTTAGCAGACAGAAAGGAATGGATGATGAAAACGATCGGCTTGGGGCAGGAGTGAAGGTCCAGTTGCTGAAAATTAAAGAGAAGAGAGCACGAGAGATTTTTCAGTTAATGCTTGATGTAGCATAGTGATTTTCCCATCAAGCCAATCTATACACACTTCTAACTTTGAAGCATTAAATAGAGCGATGCTGTCCTCAAATCTTTGTTCTCATTGAGATAAGGGAATAATCCTCCAAACTTGCTCCTCATATCTCCATTATCTTTGTGCCCTAAAATAAACATAAAATAAATACTGATGGGACCCTTCTTCATTGTCTATGCCATTTATTTTCGGTTCCACAATAGTGATGTTGATGCCGAGTTACAGCAGGCAGCAGTTCCAATTTCACATCTCAAGCTGCTTGGTTCTTTTTGACAGTTTTTAAAATGTCTAACCTTGTCCAACTCGCTTAAAATTCTTCTCAGCCCTACTGATATGCAAGGTAATTAAGAGTACTAAATGGGATCCTGCATGGGAAACTGCTTTGTGAATTGTGAATACAGAGCGCATGCTCAGCATCCTCGTCTTTGCCATCCTCTACTCTTGAACCATTGCAGATACACCCCTCACATCTCTCTGATGGTGATGTCTGAAGTCCCAGCCTTCTCAGTGTGGTTTCTGTACAGCCCAGGGCATTCCTGGCTAGAGCACCAAACACCTTCCGAAGGTGAATTATCACTTGACCTGAGTTAGAAAAATTTAGGAAACTTTCAGATTCCCTTCTGCTGCCCTAAGTTTTGTTCTGATGGTGGCATTTCTGTGCAATAAGAGCAAAGTGAGTGTGCAATTATCATCTACCAAACTTTAGATGGTATTGTTATAGGGTGCTGTCTTGGTTTCCTTTTCATTATTTGTTGCCGTGATAAAACATTCTTACAAAGGCAACTTAAGGGTATATTCTTAACTCAGAGTTGAAAGCACAGTCCATCATGGAGGGGAAGTGGAGGCAGCAGGATCTTGAAACAGCTGGGCTGGTCACATTGCGTCCCCAAACAGGAACAGGGATGAATGTATGCTGCTGCTCTAGGATCCTGGCTAGGGAATGGTGTAATGGGTAGCTGTTCCAGCTTTAATCTTGAAGCACCACCCTCGTGAGGCAGCTGGTAACTGCCACGCCTACCTAGGACCTGCCCCTGGGGCATGGCCAGGACAGGAGCCCTTAAGACTTGAGATCCTGATGTGCCTGCCCTCTTGGTTCCTCATGATCCTGGATGCTGGATGGCAGACTGAGTCAGAGTTCTTCAGAGAACCCCGCTGGACTGCACCTCACCTCTCCCAGATCCTGTAACCAACCCCTTAACTGGCTGTAAGTTACCCCAAAATAAACCTCCTTTTAACTACATTGTTAAATCCCCACATTAGAATGGTGCCACCCATTGTGGCTTGGGTGGGTGGGGGTTTTCCATCTCACTTAATGCAGTCAAGATAATCCCTCACAGTCAAATCCCTAAGAGGTAGCAATTGTCAGTGTTGCCATTTTTCATATGAAAAAAAAAAAAACCCTAAGATCTAGAGATGCTTTAAACTTTATGAAACCACAGCCTTTACACTCAATCAGGAAGCATGGACTCACACTCAAGTCTATCTGACATCATAGCTAGAGATTAATTACCTTATCCCATGCCACTAAAATAAAAAAATCAACACAGTTTTGAAAAGTGACATTAAAAACTGTCTGCCTCAGTCTCTGTAGTTTATGGATAGGGTGACTTGAATCCAAAGTAATAAGATGAGCACATTAGCATTGGACACAAGCAAGAATAAAACAAGAGACTAATTCCTGTTTGTTTCCACTTTGCTATAAAGGAGTTGCCTTTAAGAACACAGATGGATAGTCAATAGACCAGGAATAAATGAGAAGTGTTTTAATGACAGGGACTTTCATGTTACTACCCACTTGAGTCACGGTTTCAGGTTACATTTAAAGAACTGGAATACAGAAATATAAAAATACAAAATCCAGAGGAATCCTGAGACTCCACTGAGAAAAGGGAAGAAGTTCTCAGACAGTGAGGAAGGATCTGCTGTTAGCCTTGCTCTTGGATGTGATCACCACTGCCAAGTACCCATAACAACAGCCTGGGGTTGCACTGAGGTCAGCAGTATCACGTGGTGTGGAATTGTCTTGAGCTGAGGTAAAGGGCCCTTTAACTCTGTTAACTGTGGAGATAGCCCTTGTCCCTAGTCAGCTTCTTTTGGGAACTCCAAAATGCTTTCCAGATACTTCCCAGTAAAGCCCACTGAAGAAACACCGGTACAACTTGTGGCATGAAGCAGGTGGAGGAAAGAGGGATGGTGGAAGTCCAGGAGCTGGATGAAAGTTAGTTTGTTTGATTTTTGTTCAGTTAGGGATTAATCTATGTGATTTAAATTTTCTGTCACTGTTGTAACAGGAAGTCAATACATATTTTCTGATGGACACAACAGGTACGTAGAATGGTTCTCACAAATTCATGGCCATGCTTGCAGTTCTATACTTGACAGCATAGGTGAGATGCTGCGTCTTCTGGGAAAATGCCATGGGCCACTATTGTCTACAGATGGAAGAATGTACCACTGTCACCTTCTGGGAAACTGGTTTTCATTCATGTTTTTACTATGATGGGGAATGAAGACCAGAGAAAATCATTAATGCCAACACAAGGACTGTGTGCACTGGTGTGAGGTATATGGCTGTTACCTTAACCAGGAATTGGTTAACTTAGATGGATATTGTTTGATAGTAGTTTCCAACTTTCATAGTCTTGTCTGTTCCCTCCCCCCACTCAGATAATGTCTACTGTCTATTCCCTGACTGCCCCTGGCAGTACTTATTTGATATAGCTGCCCTCATCCCCATCATCTGACACAATGCGAAGGTTATATCAGCTGCTTAGTGTATCTTTAAAAGGAGTGGTACATAGGTGAAATCAACTGAGAAATCTCTTTTAAAGCGTTCTTCCTCTAGATCCAAATATTTATGCCATTTTCTAATGAAAAAATGAAACCAAAGGAAAGAACTCGAGATAACTGGACCTGTTTGAAACTATTGATTCCAATCCTGCTTTCTCCAGGATCAGCTGTGACAGGAGTCTGGAGCCACTGTGCTATCAGTTGGATGAATAACAGTAGAAAGAAGGCAGCCTATCATTTCTGAGTCATTACAGATGCGTTGCATAATGAAGCAAATGAAATCGCATGGTCACAAGAAAAACACACTTACAATCTCTCCTTCTTTGCCTCCGAAGTCTAAATAGAGCATCCTGATTCCATCATCCGAAGACATTTTGAGCTTCTCATAAGGGGACTGTATGATTGTCTTGGGAAAGGCACCCTCCTGAGGCTCAGTAGAAATAGAAAATCCATTGTCATAATGAACAGTCAAGCGGCATTCCTGGTTTCTGTAGGTGCAGGCTGGGATTGGGGGAACAGGGAGAGGGGAAGACACGGTGGAAATCAATCCATCAGTCCATTTACTCAGGCGCTTAATTGTTTTAGTTTCTTCAACCCCGTGTCCACCCACAAATTTCTTATTAACGTGAGAAAAAAAAGTAATAAAATCCCTACACTTCTTGGATTGACTTTGATGTTGTAATTTAGCAGTTGTCAGGAACTGGGATTCAGTGGATGTTGTCTGGGCTCTAGTCCTTATCTGGCCCTTCTCACATGTATGTCAACAGGAAGGGTATACTTGATTTCCTATGACCAGGTGGGCCTGGCTTTCAGCCAGAAACAACAGATATTTTATTTTAGTAAAGTAAGCCACCTCTGCATCACCATCATTAACACCACCACCATATCATCTGCATGGGTATGCACCCGTCATGCACACACACATGCATGCATATATGCATATATGGTCCTGTCAGCTATTGGTTGAAAGAGGCAAACACTCCCTTATTATACTCCATTATGTCACCGAAGTTGTCATATGCAACATGCATAAGAGGTCCTAAGTGAGTAGTTTAAAAATAATCTACTTTCATTTTTAAAAAGGCCTAACAGTTTATTTCAGACACTGAAAGGGCTGTTCCTTTAATTTCCCCTAAAATTTGGGGTTCTGGAAATGCTGCAGCAGACAGATCTGTGATGTGACACCTTTCACGAGGAATGTGTCTCTGTCCCCTGCCTGTGAGATGTACAAGGAGGGGGGCATGTACAGGGCACCTCCAATCCAGAGGAACAAAAGCATAAACCTTGTAAGAAATCCAGGTGCTGGCTTTTACCTGGAATCCGGGAGAGTGGAGCTCTGTAAGCCTGTTACCTGGACAGGGAGGGGGCGGTTGCCAGAACCCGTCTTATAAGCTAGTATTGCTACAAATGTTTCCTTTAAATCTTCATCATAGATTTCTGGAAAAGCTTGTCAATTATCAGACTGGGTTTAGCTTGCCTCATAACACAGTTAACAGATCTCTCTCTGTAGGTCATTTGGTTCAGGCCTTGATCTGTACCTAGCTGAATTTTTAAGGAGCCAGGACATTTTCTTTGTTGGGGTGGGGCTGAGAGCAGCACTGACCCACGAAGGTGTCATTAATTGAGAAACCACTCTTTGTCGCCCTTAGCTCTGCTCTGCTTTCTAAATATACTGAGTACAATTTCACCACTGACTTCAGAAGCAGCAATATTTCACTAAGATTATAGGGCTTAAAAAAAACTAAAGTTTGCCAGGTGGCAGTGGCGCACGCCTTTAATCCCAGCACTCGGGAGGCAGAGCCAGGTGGATCTCTGTGAGTTCGAGGCCAGCCTGGTCTATAGAGCGAGATCCACGACAGGCACCAAAACTACACAGAGAAACCCTGTCTCGATAAAACCAAAAAGAAAAAAAGAAAAAAAAAAACACTCAGAGAGGAGACGATCCCCACCTGCGATGTTTAGCTTTGCAAGTTCAAGTCCTCTCTCCACTGTTTCATCTTCCTTTCTCCATACCCTGACTCTCAAATGTAGAGGGCTTCGGGGCAGGACCCTGACAACAACGAGTTTCTCAGCCTTCCTCTCTCACGAATGGTGACAGATGATGACATTGATAGGGGATACCTTCAGACTTTGGGGGAAGAAATAGGATCTCTATTGACTGCAGAATTAGGCGCCCTTTCAAATGGAGCTCTGATGAGCACATCCGCCCCTTCTCCGACTTACTCTAAGTACTTTTCATCTGTACTATAAGCTCATCTTTTACAGTTTTTCTCTGATAGCTCTGAATGCTTGGCCCTCTGCTACCCCTACCCCCAGTCCAGGGACAACAGAGGACAGTGTCACACAGGTAGTAATGGCCTCCCTTTTGCCAGTTTTCCTGTCTTCTTACACCTGCAGCACATGTCCATAAGCTCTAAGCATAGTTTTATTTATGTTTTCCCCCACGTATGAACTTTACAGCTGTGTGATTAGTTATTCTGAATTAGCTGTGATGGGCTTTGGTTCCAGCAGACCTCGAATGGTGTCTGTGACCTTTCCTGGGTAGAATCAGTTCCCCAAGATGTTCTCAATCTCCGTGGGCTAAATTAAACACATGACCATGTTACACTAAGATCTGATGAAAACAGAAATCATCCTCCGTACTCCCCCCCTCCCCACCCCGAGTCTCTGGAGACATCATCCAAGCTGCAACTGGGTTGTGTCTTTAATTACTTCTATCACTTTTCTGCTACCATTCTGCTAGCTCAGATTACACAATTTCTTGTTATTCTTCTTCGGCCTGTATGTATGTCACTAGCCTTGGCATTTTATTTTCCTATTGAGGGAAACAATGTCTACATACTAAATGAAATGAAAAAAAATTTTTCAAACCCCGCAAAAACCAAAAGCCAGTCCTTTTGGACATCTTCACTCTTTCCTAAAATCATGGCATGGAGTGTGAACTTCACTGATACTACACACATAACGTTATTAGACGTAGCATTTGAGTGGTTTGAGTCTTTTCCAACGCTCATGCTCCCAGCCTGTTATTCTCGCCAGATACCATAGGCACACAACTCTTAGGAACACTCCCAGCAGGTCATCAGCAATAACAGGAAACATTTAGGGACACAAATTAGTCTTAAGATAATCATCCACAGGTACTGATCAAGCCAGGCATGGTGGCGCATGCTTCTAATCCCAGCATTTGTGAAGACTGTCAGTTTGAGGCACGCCTAGGCTACCTGGTGACATACTATCTTAAAAAAATGAAATAAAAGGCACTGGTTATCTTGGGTCTACTGCAGCAGAAATTCTACTACACATTTAGAGACAATTTGGAAAAAGCCCGCCACATGCTTCTGTGTGTCTCATCTTTTGGAGTACTCCTGGGTATTTGAGAAGTGGTGTCTACTCCAGTACTCCTCAAAGACCACCCCATGGCCCAGTAGCTTCACTGCTTCCTGAAACTTGTTATCTGAGAATTCTCATCCACCACTCCATCCTGTGGATCTGAGTCTCCGGTGGGAGGAGAGGGTCTGCCATCCATGCTTCTGAGTAAAAAATTGGTACAGGAAAATCTTGGTATGTCTTTTCTAGCTGTTCTGCGGGGGAGGAGGGGTCTTCATCCTCTAGATCACAGTGGCACACAGTGGAGCCTGATAGACAAGTCACAGATGGACGCCATCCTGAGAAGTAGCTCTTTCACCCGTTGGACTGCGGTCACTGACAGTGGACTCCTTCCAAACTATTCCTGCCCCTTCATTGGTGCCAGGGATAGAGGGAGCTCTGTTGGAGTTCTTCTGGAACTTTCCTTCTGCTCTACTTCCCCCATGCCTTTCATTTTTATTGTTTCTTACAGACCAAGTCCCCAGTGTTGAGCTCAGCTCAGTACCAAATACTAGTCTATTATAAATCACTCAGATTCAGTTCCTATTGTTCGTAACCAATAACCCTAATAGTATATGCCCCCAAATTTCCTTCCTTCTGGAAGACATCCATGGGGTCATAGGTAGGAGGATGAGAAGTGATCCTTTGAGTTACTAGCTTCTCCTTAATGAAGATGAGATGAGATGGTGTATAAGAAAAGCCTCTAGTTATATCTTAGGGCGGTAAACAGTGCCCCTAATTGAAGAGAATTTAAGCTTAACTCTAGACTTGTTGTTTTGTTTTTGTTGTTTGAGACAGGGTTTCTCTGTGTAGTTAACTCTAGAATTTTAAGCATGCTCAAAGACCAGTAACAGAAAATACTTTGAGGCCAGAGCAGTAACAGGTTCATCTTTCCGGTATTTCTGTCTCTGTGGGACATTGGTAGCTCAGGGCAGCAGTACTCACCAGTGGTGATTTCGGCAATGAGCTCTGCTGAATTGTGGCACCCCTGCACTATGCTCCGAGTCCAGTGGGAGAGGTCCCGGCTGACCTCTGCCCTGAAGAGATGGGTTTCGATTCCCTGCTTGGTACCAGTTCGTGTTGCAAAGGACAGATCCATAGCAGCCTGGGGGGATCCTTTCCCTGGACCTGAATGGACGAGCCTAGAGAGGAGGGGGTGAGAGAAAGAGGGAAAGAGGGAGAGAGGAAGAGAGATTAGTATTAAAATGCACTCTTCAAAAATCCACCTGGCCCATCACCTAGTCAATGCCCCAAACGGATGTACTGCTCTCATTGTTGTGATCTCAAGTCAAAGGTATGACTCTACCATCTTCTCTCCAATGGCAGAGTGAGACTACAAATCATCCAAGAACTGTGCATTTGGTTAAATAAGCAGAAGAATCAAATAATATGACATGATTTATGCAAATCCAACTATGCTAAGTAAATAAATAGATGAATGGGTGAGGAAAAAAAAAAGACTGGAATTCTGTGTAAAATTCTCTCCAGTCCAATTCCAACCCCGCTCATGTGCACGTTCCTGCCTGGCCACAGGAAAGGGAAATGAGTCTCCTGTACTAAATGGGCATGAGACTCAATTTGTCACATCTCATAGCTGGAAGGATCTGGCTGTACTGAACATATCTCTGGGTCTGCATGCAGTTATGCAGATAGGCCCTGCAGACAAGCAAACAGGTGGGGACTCCATTGCAAAGGCAGCCATCTGTTTATCTATCCAGGCTGGAGAAAGAACAAGAAACATTAGACTTCTGAGGCAATGGTAGAGGCTTGCCCTTTAGTGGATATTTATGGGACTTTTCAGAAGTGTTGTTTTTCAACTACGCAAGATTTTCACACTGACTTTAGAGCTTCCCCTTGGCATGAAATGTGACTTCTATAGTAAATAATTCCCCGGAAGGCCACACTTAAAACATAAAGAATCAAAGTATCCTGATCACTGTCACTGTCCCCTGGAAGCATGCTCTCTGCTGCTTGACATTTCAGCCTCCTCCTCTTCAGAGTGGCTCTTATATCAATCATTCACAGGGCAGCACAGTGTAATTTTATAAATGTTATTTCTCCCCAGGGTATTTGTATTTTCATCCTTATCTTTTAATATGGAAAGTAACACTGTACCATTTACTAGAAAAATGCCAGGTGTCTAGCCACCTATTGGATGAGAGTTACTTTCTTAGACAAATAATTTGTTACCTTGAGGGTTAAAATATGGGTAAGGAAACCGGAAAAGTTTATTTTCCCCACAATACATAAATAGGAGAGAATAAAATCGTCAGTGGAAGAAAGTGTATTATATCCTGTGGAATTCCTAGTAAGAAGTTTGTGTAACTCTGAGGCACTTTCTTTCATTTATAAAGCTGGAGCCTGGTGGTAGGAACTGTTTGCCAAGCCACTTTGAGGAAAAGGGTTATTGGAAAGGCTGTTGGCTGTGAAGTTCATTCCAGTTACAGAATAAATAAATAATTATTTAGGTAGCCTCTAACATACATAAAGGGAAATGGCTGTGCATGTGGGTGCATGAAGAAATTTAACATATGCCAGCTGAGTCTGGTTTGTTCTGGCAGGAGGAGGCCATTTTGGAGTAAGAAGTGACTAAAAGTGATTGTGCTGCTGCTGTGGATTCAAATATAAGTGATACTAAAGAAAAGAGAAAACGTTTTTCTAAATTCTGGTATGGGATTTTAATGGCTTGAGGTAAAAATTCATCAGAAAGAATACCTTTTTAATACATAAGTAGAGATAACCATTGATGAGAAGCAAGGAAATACATTATGGTTTTAGTTGTTCAAGGTGGTGTGTGTATGTGCATGCTTGTGAGGGTGTGTGTGTCTGCACACATGTATATGGGTAGACGTGTGTTCAGGTGTGTGGTAATATTGTGTCCCACAATATATTGCACACCCTAATAAACTTATCCGGGGTTAGAGAAAAAAAATTCTGTAGGGAACCATGACCATGCCTAACAGTAACTTTGAAATCTTTGAAAAGATGATGGGCCCCCACAAGGATGATTCCACATGGACTATAATAATATCACTAAGTTGACAAACATCACTCAAAGATCAACTTTGGACTACAAACTGCTCAGGACAATTTTGAGATGGCTAGCTGAGATGATCCAGCCTCAGAGACTACTTGAGCAAGGACTTGAGACAAGCCCTGAGTTTTTCCCATTATGCAGAGACTAGACCACAAATGATACTGATATCTCTCCCAGGACTTGACAATTAACCCCAAAAAATTTATTTTCAGGATCCCCTAAAGATGTCCTCACCCCCAGAAAGCAGGAAGTACTTTTAAGAAAATGATGGCCTCATTTCCAAGAGATAGGGTGGGTGGGTTTTGGTCATTCAATGGCTTATGGATAATTGTCATTGTTCAGGATGGTTGGTTACAAGTTGTTATTGTTAATGGTCAGGAAAAAAAAAGATAAAAAGGGGAGATTAGATTCAGGATTCTTGTTTAGAAAGAAAAAAAAGAGGATATAGATAAAGAGGTAGATTTGAATCTATTCTGAAAAATAAAAGATATAGAAATAATAGGATAAAAGCATTGATTATTGAATCTACTCTGAAAAGAAAAAAGGAAGATGTACAAATGATAAGATAAATGGTAGATTTTTGAATCTAATCATAAAAGAAAAAAGAGAGAATAATGATATGATAAGATTAAAAAAATAGATTATGCTAGGCAGTGGTGGCACATGCCTTTAATCCAAGCACTCGGGAGGCAGAGCCAGCCAGATCTCTGTGAGTTTGAGGCCAGCCTGGTCTAAAGAGAGAGATCCAGGAAAGGCACCAAAACTACACAGAGAAACCCTGTCTCTGAAAAAACAACAAACAAACAAACAAACAAAAAAGGTAGATTATTGAATCTACTTTTATAAAGGAACTACTTGTTTTAAATATTTTACATTGGATTGGATTTTTGTATATTGTATACAAATTTTGTATTGGACTCAGCAAAATAGGATAAATAATGAGATTTTTTTGTCTGAATTTGTTAATGGACCGGACATTGTTTATATATAATAGAGTTTTTATTTCTGAATCTGTCAAATGTTAATGAACTAGACATTGTTAATGCAATTCTTGCCTGTATATATTGTATATACTTCTTGGATATAGTTTTTCTTATATTAGTTACAAGCTTCTTTTATTATTTTAGACAAAAAGGGGGAAAGGTTGTGATATTGTGTCCCCAATATATTTTGCACCCTAATAAACTTATCTGGGGTCAGAGAACAGCCACTAGATAGACATAGAGGCCAGAAAATGGAGGCACACACACCTTTAATCCTATCACTTGGGAGGCGAGGCAGAGATCCATCTGGATCTCTGTGAGTTCAAGACCACACTGGAAATAGCCAGGCATGGTGACATACACCTTTAATCCCAGGAAGTGATGGCAGGAAGCAGAAAGGTATATAAGGCATGAGGACCAGGAACTAGAGGCTTTTAAGCTTTTAGGCTTTTAGTAGCAGTTCAGCTGAGATCCATTTGGATGTGGTCTGAGAGGCTTCCAATTTGAGGAAACAAGTTCAGCTGAGGAGTTGGTGAGGAGCGGTTGGCTGTGGCTTGTTCTGTCTCTCTGATCTTTCAGAATTCACCCCAATATCTGGCCCCAAGTTTTTTATTTAATCAGACCTTTTAAGATTTGCGTTATTGGCTGAGTGGTGGTGGCACATGCCTTTAATCCCAGCACTCGGGAGGCAGAGGCAGGTGGATCTCTGTGAGTTCGAGGCCAGCCTGGTCTCCAAAGCGAGTTCCAGGTAAGGTACAAAGGTACACAGAGAAACCCTGTCTCAAAAAAAAAAAAAAAAAAAAAAAAGATTCGTGTTACACAGGCATATATGCAGAATGGGGATAACCTCAGGTGTGGTTCCAAAGCTACTGTCCACCTTTCTATTTTTGAGGCAGGGTCTCTCACTCCCCTGGAACTCACTACATAAGCTAGAATGGCTGGCAAGCAGTCCCACTGTGTCCTCTGTGTCCACCCTGTCCAAGTTCTGGAATTGCACACCTGACTGTTCAAGGTGTTTCCATATTCAAAATTCTGTAAGTTTCAGTTGCTTTAAGAAATATATTCATCTACTGTCTTTTAAATCTTAGTACCAGGCTTAGTTGAGCACAAATGCCAGGTTGCAGGTTGAACTGAACAGGGAACAGGTTTGGGAGGCATAAAATCCTGTGGTAGAACCCCACTGATTTTAGATGCCACATATTTAAAAAGTTTTAAAGAATCATTGCCTCATCAGGTAGTGTTGTGAAAATTAAATAACACCACTGATATACTGTTACTTACTCAGAAACCAGCATGTGGCTCACATTCAACAAATGTTTTTATTCCTTACACTTAGAAGTTTAATTCCTGCCACATAGGACCAGGGTTATATATAATAATTTTTTTTTTAAAAAAAGAATTTAGTTCGTTGTCTTGTATGTCATAGTCAGCACTCAAATAAAAAATGTTCCTTTAGGCCTTAACTGTCCTAAGTTGTTTTCACTTTCCAATCCCTAAATGATTTCCATCAGTGACCTCAATTCTGTCACAATCAGGTGTTGGTGGTACTGGATTCTGGAGGCAGAAGCAAAGTGAGAAAAAGTGCTGCTAGGAAAATGTAATGAAACTCGGCTAGTGTCCCAAAAGCTACTACTTGGAAAAATCAAGGACTTCTCCAAAGGTCAAGCCATGGCTTAAGAAGTCTTGGTGATATTATATATATATTAGCTTGTTCCTAAAATGATTTTCTTGTGTGCTTCCAAGAACTCCTAACAGTGTATTTATCTAAAATGCCTATCAAGCATCCAAGGCCAAACGAAACACTACCTGTCTCCTAGGTTAGGTAGATAGCTTTATTTCTTGTGCAATTTATGGCGAGACTCTCCTTTCTTATACAACCTTACTAATAGACCTCTAACTTCTTACCTAATCACTTCTCAGAATGTAGACTGAGCACCTAGATCCCTTTTTGATATATTAACTGGTCATTAGCACTCAGTTGACCTCCCCTTTTATCACTCCCATTTTGGGTTATAAAAGAAAGCCTGAAAGTCACTGCCTGAAGAAAATTCTTACCTACCTTTATGACCCTGAAAGAATTCAATCCTGGTGACCTTGCTTGGCCAGAGAATTGCCACTTCTT